GTCTCCAGGTGATGGCAGGGAGACCAACACACCTCTGGAACTATTTTTGGAAGGGGGATATTCCTACAAAAGTGAAATGCTTCACTTGGCTAGTGATAAAGAGAGCTTGTTTAACACAAGAAGTACTTCAGAAGAAGGGTAGACAGCTGGTCCCTAGGTGTTTTTTATGCAATTTGACAAGTGAAACTAGCAGCCACCTCTTCTTGCACTGTAATTACACTGCTCAAATCTGGAATTTGTTCCTTAGCATCTCAAATCTGAATTGGACAATGCCAGAACGTACATCAAACGTGTTGAAGAGCTGGGTAAGGAGAGGGGGTACCAAGAGCCAAAAGAGATGGTGGAGGTTAATACCATCATGTATATGGTGGTCAATCTGGAAGGAAAGGAACAGTAGATGTTTCGACAATAGATCCAATTCCATACACAAGGTCAAATGGAATTGTATAGTATCTCTACTTTTTTGGTGTAAACAGTTGTGTATAGTAGATACAAATCAGATTGTAGATTTGATAGGAAGTTTGATCAGTGTGCCATTAATCATTGGAGATTTCTCGTTATAAAAAAAATGCTACTAAACCTTACTGAGATTTGTGGTGGGATGTTCGGATATGCTTTTTGTGCAAATACACATAAGCATAAAGAATCTTTAACACACTTTTATTTCTTCCTCTTTCTATAGAAATACCATTTGTTATGTTCTGTTCTATGAAATTGCCTGAATTTTGAAGTTTTTAGGAGGTTGGCTTCATAACAATAGTTGTTTACTAAGGTATCTAAAGGTTTGGTACAAAGCTTAATGACTGATATGAGATTTTAATTTGTTGCGCTTTGTGTCATATCCTATTTTAATCAAGTCTATGTTACATTGTTTCTGCTGTTTATTAGTGGCAAAATTCTTCAGACTCTGTTGTTTTGAGGAGCCTTATCTCAACCCAACTCTCTAAAAAATGTTTACAGATATGCAATGACAGGACAATTGACACAAAAGAGTGATGTGTATAGCTTTGGGGTGGTTCTTCTTGAACTTTTGACAGGAAGAAAACCTGTAGATCATACAATGCCTCGTGGACAACAGAGCTTGGTTACTTGGGTGAGCATTGCATTATGCGCGAAATGACTTATTTATTTCTTGTGTTTCTTCTCATTTTGTGCCCCTTCCTTCATTTGTTTTGGTAAATGATTATTTTATATGCTTAATTATATCTTTGTAAAGCGTAGGCTACTCCGAGATTAAGTGAAGATAAGGTCAAGCAATGCATCGATCCAAAGATGAAAGAAGTTCCTGGAAAAGGAGTTGCTAAGGTTTCTGCCCTTCCCTCTCTGACTTTATTTCTTTTTAATGGTAAAAACTTTCCCGTGCCTTCAGTAAATAAGAGGTACTTAACAACCGCACCCACCCACAAAAAAAACAAAAAAAACACCCGAAAGATCATAAAAGTATCAACAAGTCTATTGGTAATTTATTTTTTCTCGTTTGCTTAATTCAGTTGGCAGCTGTTGCAGCACTGTGCGTACAATATGAGGCTGAGTTCCGTCCTAATATGAGTATTGTTGTCAAAGCTCTTCAACCACTGTTGAAGGCACCTGCTCCTGAGTCATAGGGGCTGTAGTTTCATTTACTCATTTTATATTCAATTTACTTTGATCACTCTTGTATTTCTTGTCACCTGGATTAAAGATCATTTCTTCATTTCTCCCCCTCTGTGTCTGGTTTGTTCAGTCTATTGCGTGTCATGTTATATTATGGGAGTAGTTTAGCGGGTTACTGTAAAACTGGGTTTGGTTATTCTTTCTTTTTCTTCTTCTTTTCCTTGTGTGGTTTTTCCTCGTATCATTTTGTGTATCAAAATTTATTTTTATGGATTGAATGACGAATATGTATACTATGTCAAGGTACAGACTTGGTGTCCGTTTTCTATGTAAGCTGCATCGGCTATTGTTACCCGACAGTAGTAAAGTCATAGTATCCAAAAGAGCCGTGCAAAGTGGGGGTGCGGCAGCTAAACCGTTATCGAATCAAGAAGAGGTTGACTTGACCATACACTATATAGATTGTCCAAATGAGAAATCTGGACGCCCAATTTCCAAGTTAAGGTGCGCTATCTATTTTGAATTTTTATTGATTTTGTCAGTTTATATAGACATCATTTGTTTTTATGGTAATGAAAAATATTATATATTATAACGAAAGAAACTACAAGGGATGTAACTGGGACACCATTGAGTTACAAATAACGATACATACATTGGATGCTGAAAGTCTACTAAACTAGTAGTGGTTATATTAGTGTCGAAGGCCACCTGCTGAGATGGGTACTGTTGATGAGCTTGAAAGCCCTCAATCCTTGTAGCGTGGCTGTAGAGACCAAACATAGGTGTAGTTTTCCTGCCCGGTCTTCCTCCAACACGTCCATCAGTTGACACGATGGGTTGAAAAAAAAGAGGTCGAAACACACGAAATTTTGAATTTATTTTTATGACCTGAAATTCTAAAAAAGTGATGTTGGTCTTGTAGAAGTAATAACTGTCATGAACAAAATTTGGGGTCAAAATCGGAATATGAAATTTTCAGAACTGTGACACCCGAAAAGCTGAGATAAGTATGCCTTTTTGTTTAGTGACCCTAGTGCATAGGGATGACAATTGAGCGGGTGCGGGGAGGGGTGGGTTTTAAGCTATGTGGGGTGGGCCTACGTTTGCCCCTTTGGGAAAATTAATTTTCCGTTTGGGGCCTCGTTTGAACTCAAAAAGTTGTGTGATGAGCGTCCAATAATTTTTTGGCCCAAAAATCTGTACTTCTCATTCTGGGCCTCGTTTGAACTTGAAAAAATCCACGTTTGCCCCTTCGAACCAACACACGTTATTAAGTAGGTCATCACTGACGCCAACAAGAATTTTCGATCAAAAAATCGCCAGGCGCACATATCACACAAAATTTATAGCTATAATACACGAAAAATGGGAAAATCCCTATTTGTCGTTTGGAGCCTCATTTGAGCTTGAAAAAACATGTGTTTACCCCTCTAAATCAATGTGTGCCATTTAATAGGTCGTCATGGATGTCCAAGAAAAATTTCGGCAAAAAAATCAACGGGTGGTACTTATCACACAAAATTCATGAACTAAAATACATGAAAATGGAAAAATCGTGCCTCGTTTAAACTCAAAAAACCTACATTTTTCCCCTTCAAATTACCCACATCATTAAATAGGTCGTCACAAACGCCCACTTAAAATTTCAGTCAATAAATCGTTGGGCACACACATCACATAATATCCATGGACTTACACATGAAGAAAATGAAAATAAATCTCTATTTCATGTTTTGGACCTCGTTTGAACTCAAAAAAACTTACATTCTCCCCTCCGAACAACATGTGCCATTAGGTAGGTTGTTACTTGTTAGAGACGTCCACAAATTTTTTTGATCAAAACATAGTCGGGTTCACATATCATACAAAATTCATGGACTATATAACACATGAAAAATTGGAGAAAGGCTCAATTTCCCGTTCCGGGTCTTGTTTGAACTTGAAAAGGCTTACATTTGCCCATCTAAACCAAAACACGTCATTTAATAGGTTGTCAGGACGCCCATGGAAAATTTCGGTAATAAAATCATCGGACGCACATATCACACAAAATTCATGGAGCATTACACATGAAGTTGAAAATCTCTATTTCTCGATTCGGGCCTTGTTTGAACTTGAAAAAATTAACGTTTTCCCTTTCGAACCAACACGTGCCATTAAGTAGGTCATCACTGACCCCACAATAAAATTTCAGCTAAAAAGAATTGGGCGCACACTTCACACAAAATTCATGGACATAACACATGAAAAATAGAAAAATCCTTATTTCCTATTCTGGGACTCATTTGAAATGGAAAAACCTATGTTTGCCTTTCTGAACCAGCACGCGTCATTAAGAAAGTCGTCAGGGACGCCCACGAAAAATTTGAGCCAAAAAATCGCCAAGCGCACATATACACAAAATTAATGGATTATAACACATGAAAAATGACAAAAATCCTATTTTCCAGTCTGGACCTCGTTTGAAGTTAAAAATACCTATGTTTGCCCCTCCAAACCAACACTCCATTAAGTAGGTCGTCATGGATGCCCAAAATAAATTTCGACCAAAAAACTGTCGGGCACACATATCACACAAAATCTATGGACTATAACACATAAAACAAAGAAAAATCCCTATTTCCTATTTTGGGACTCATTTGAATTGAAAAAGACCTATGTTTGTACCTCTGAACCAACACACACAATTAAGTATGTCTCCATGGACCCCCACAAAAATTTTCAGTCAAAAAACCATTTGACGCACATATCAGACAATATTCATTTACTATAACACACGAAAAATAAAAAAATCTCTACTTATCGATTTCGGCCCCGTTTGAACTTAAAAATATCTATATTTTCCCCTCCAAACCAATGCACACCATTTAATAGGTCATCACGAACGCCCATGAAAAATTTCAGCAGTGCTGCCTTTGAGTAGAGAAAAAGGATACATGGAAAAGAAAGCGGAATGGAATGAAGTTTGGCAATATGGAGCGCAAGATTTCTCCAAGTTTCTCCAAGGAGATCAGCATAGAGCTAGACCATGCAAGATATCAAAGCCATAGGAAGTCTGATGTAACAGACTCATCAGCTTATATCTTTTTCTTTGACTTGCTCTTATGCTTTAATCGCATGTTTAACGTAACTGATTTTGTTGGATAAGTATAATTTTTAAGCCTATATTAGTTGTTAAATGAAGGCAAAAATAGATCCAATTTGTATACTGTACTCACAGTATCGTTGTGACTACTGATGCAAACTTAGCATATATAGCCAACTGCAATGTCTGCACTCTTAACAATTTCTGTTGGGAGTTCGTGGTGGTGGTGGGACGCAGAAGGCAAAGGAGCACGGTGACATTGTGTCAAACCTATACCACATTAGAAATAGATGTGATAAAAAAGGATACGATGGAAGATATTTAATATATTTATTTTGTATAACTGTCTAACATACTTTTGTTGGAGTTCGTATAATTGAAAATTCCTTTACAAGTATAACCGGTTGCTACTCTTCCTTTATATACAGTCGCCCGACACCATATTACCTAATATTGTTTGCTTCTATACTTGTCAAGATGGTGGGAGGAGAAAAAAAATTGATAACTAGAAGATAAAAAGAACTCAGCTTTCACTGAACAAAACTTTCTTCCCCAAGCTTTCAACAGCTGGGCAAGTACTCTTCACCAGGCCACTAAATTAGCATTCTAGAAACTGTTTGTTCTATGACCAACTGCAGCCCGTGGACCATCCCAAAACACCCAGGATCATGTCAATCCTCGAACTTGCACCAACCTGCGGGAGCTGAGAATTCATAAAATAGCACATAAAGAGAGAGATTACTGAAGCATGTTCAGAAGACATACCAAGCTCTCTAGGTTGGCTTCAATATGAAATAGCACGACACCGATTCCCTTCCCTCTATCCGTCTCAGCCTACAGTTTTTTTTGAAGTAACAATCCAGTCACCTCACAATTGAGAATTCTAACATAATTGAAACAGGAGAAGAATATGACTATTTAATTGCTTAGATCTTTGTACATTTTTCAGAATGAATATTCAAAAGGTAATATTTCAAAAGAAGAATGGAATTTAATAGATAGAATTGTTTAAGTTCCCTCCTAGTAACAGTTAGCATGAAATTCCTTTTTTTATCCTACGCATTTCTTTCCCTCCCACGATGTTCTCAATCACTCCAGGTATGACATTCATCTTCTTCTTATTTCGCAAATCAGCATATCAACAAAAAAGAAGCTATCTATGCTCTCCCACTGCACCAAGACGCAAGTACTAGATCAAATTGACTAACTTGAACTTGTTAAATCCTCTTTAAACACAGGTCTCACTGTTAGCTCCTGCTGGTTATTGCTGAAGTAATAAAGATTAAAGAGCTAACAGTGTCAGTACTTTGTCACAGACTGCCTAATATAGCTAGCTAAGAAAGGTGTGAATCAAGGTTCCGTTATTAAATATAAAACAAATATTGAAAAAATTCACAAATGCAACCTAGGTTCAGACTTCAATTGCAGACAGCTTCACAGTCAACCCAGACCATATTAAAATGTTGATTATCAATATGTATAGTTCAGGAGTTTGAGCCTAGATGATAAATGATATGATAAATGTTCCAACTCACCGCACAAGAACAAATAATGACGCCTATAGCTGCCAATGCTGAAGTAATATCCGCCATCATCCCTAAAGAATTGTAGTGGTTTGAGATGTCAGCCATGAAAAGTAATAAACCATGAAAAATGTTGGCTACATATTAAAATTTCTGTTAGTCATCAAATAACCAGGTCATACATAATGTGCATATGTAAATGAACATATAAGCTTAATAAACTGGAATACATGTAGTTGGAACTATACAAAATACATCAAAGACAAAAAAGAACAAAAGTTAGATCTTCTACATCGATGGAATCCCGCCTCCCCTCCCCCCCCCCCCCTTCCCCCGACAAACTCTCACACACTTCTCTGGTTATTCAAAATTTTGATGTCATTCTTTTGAACTTGAAAATTTGCAACTTCGAGGTAGTCAAACTTTTAAATACGTAATTTTGACAAACCTCTCTCTCAAAAGGGGTGTGATGTAGTGGGCTAAGATCTTTCCACCCTTAATTAAAGGTCTTGGATTAGATCCCTAGGAATGTTAGAACCTGTTGGTTGGGAGCATTTCAGGCCTAGCAGTAGGTTTCGGCTACCAAATGCCTAAAGCAAAAGGAAAAACCAAATACTAGCAGTGCTAGTGGTAATGATTTTTTCAAAGGACTTAGAACCACCAATACATAGCAGAGTTCGCAAATGCATCTAATATAGATGAGCAGTGATGCCTTATCCAGTTTGATGCTCATCTGCAATAATTAGCCTCTGGACCAAACATTACCTTTTCGATCTATGCTGACAACACAAAACCACTGGACAGAGTGCCCTTCCAGGTTCTGCCAAGTTGCAACTTTGCTAGCCAGCCAGCCGTCCAATCCGGGCAGAACATCCCTGTACCTTGGTATGTTAGCAAGTATCATTTCGCCAACACCATATCCTTGTGACAATGTGTCCCCTGTGGCCTTCAAAATCGTATGCTGCATGCACTTATTATGTTTCCCATTTACCTTGGGAATTTGAATACTACCAGTCTACCACTATGGAGTTGGAAAATATCTTCACTACTCATCCTTGCAGATGATACATCCATAACATTTTTGAGGATTTTCTCCCACGAATGTTTGGTTCCCTTAGAGCAATCTGCTAATTCTTCCACTGTGCTGTCCCCTTCAGACTCAGCAGCAAATTCCTTAACTGAATCCACAGTTATTTCAGATGCAGATAGTGCAGCTTGCTCTCTCAAAAACTAAAGAAAAGATGAGCTCCACATCATTAATTTGTAGTAGTAGCAGTACATGATAAATTTCCATTCTAACTCTGCAGAGATACCTACTTTCATAATTTTGTGCCGGGCGCAACGAGTTTTTGCATGTTGAAGCCACTGTTTATGTCTCTGGAAAGCAGACTTGCTAGACAGACCCTGAAGGAAGGAAAATAACTGGATGCTTGTAAATTAGTTTTTTTAAAAATTTGGTGATGTTCCAGATGCTTGTAAATTACCAGCATGGTGAACTAATTACTCGAATGCATCAAGAAATTTTTTACAGAGCTTACAGAAAGAAACAAATGACGGCAACCTACATTTTTTTTGAAATATCACTAGGTGCAACTTGTTTTCCCTACTTCCATTATGAAAGTCATTTTCCCCATTTTTAAGGAGCTTGTTTTCCTAAAGAAAATGTTTTACAAAATATTTGACCAACCGAACATGAGAAAATTGGAAAACATGAAAATGTTTTCCTTCATTCCGAACACACCCTAAATGAATCAACCCCCCACCCAGAAAAAAATCGCGAGCCCAAAAAACCATTGTCCAGGAGCCCAATAGTGGTCCACTTCCACCTTACTTCCTTGGTGACACAGACTTCCAACCTTATGGCTGGTAACGGAGGCCTGTACTACTAGACTATGCCTCCTAGCCAGTCATACACTATTAAAGCATGACCAGTTTATATGTCATAAGCATAAGAGGGTGGTCCAAGAATTGAAAGATTAAGAAGAAAGATAAAACTAAAAAAGATGCATGCTTACATATTAAATACAGCTGACCTTTATCTGCATTAAGGTTTAGTTGATATCTAGAATTTTCAGAATTACAACACATATAAGACATGAGTAGAGGTCTCAGCAAGACGAAAACAATGTAAAATGTAGAAAGCCCCAGGCTGCCCACAAAAGGAAGAGAAAAAAGAATAAAGATAGAGAACATAGGCAAAAAAGGTTCAGAATTCATAGCAACTAACATTGTAAGTGATAATCTCTACAACTTCTGAGAAACTACCTTAGTCTCCCCTTCAACAATACGGCGAACTGTTGCACCAAATTCCTTCTCTATTCTTTCAAAAGTAACTACATCTGTGTCTTCTACGGTATCATGTAATAACCCAGCAGCAACCGACTCCCAATCCAATTCCTCAAAATAGAAAAAAGAAAAGTCAAAGTCAGTTTATCCCTTCCTAGCCAGAAGAGTACAATAGTTACACACAACATACAAGCTGTCCAAGGATATGTGCAACTGCAACTGGGTGAATAATGAAGGACTCTCCACTACGACGCTTTTGACCATCATGTGCCTCAAAAGCAAGCTGTAATAATGACCAGTAGATAAGAGTTTGTTTTAATATAGTGATTTAGATGTAGAGTATGGCATACCAAGTATTTGGTAACAGATGCTTATCTTGCAAAGACAGAAAAGGAGGAAGGAATTCAAAGCCGAGGAGAAGATCAATTATGTTGAATGTTGATGGTATGGGAATATACTAACATTCAAAGCCTTATGAACCAGTTCCAATTCCTTGCAAGAAAGATATGAAATAGTAGGTTTAAGATCCTGCACAACAGATAACTGACATTAACAAGATACTGACATAGCATACACTTGAATTAGCCAATGACCATAAAATTCAAGCACTTACAAGTGAGAGGTTGTTCTGTATCTTCAATTAATGTAGTAAGAAATGCACACTAAAGACCGCACCTGCTTTAGGTTCAACATTGAAAGAAATGAAAGTTTTATGTATGGGAAAACAACAACAGTAGAATGTGGATTACACGTTCTGAGACTGGATTGGTCTTTCTACTTCTAGTCAGAACATTTAGCAGTTTAAAATTTCCCATTAATTCCTTCCAGAAAAAAATTGCTTATTCACAACTGGTAAATCTTAGTGCTTCTTGATTTCAAACAAAAGTAACTATTAATCACAATTCATGATCTTTCCATCATGACAGAGTAAATATTTAACCAAGCTTTGTCGATGATGCCAGGAATCAGAGATGATTTATAGCTAGAGGATCACAAACCTCCCACAAACTTTCAGGAGATATCTCTACATACGACTCTGAATAAAATGATAAAGAGCAACACAATCTCCATTTGCTAGAAGCAGATAGTAGAAGCATTGAGCTAGGGACTCCTCGCAGAATTTCAACAGGGTAGCATTCATCCATATCAGAAGTATAACATCTCTGCCACAAGTAAAAACTAGTAAGATAAAAGACTCTAATAGATATAACATTGCTTCTCAAGAAAATTAACTATAAACCTTTATGTATAACTTCTCAAAAAATACATATATTATGTATGCTCAAAGAAAAATATACATGTCTACGTGAATCAAGCTTAAACTCATTTTGATTGAATCCTTGACACAGCTCTCGAGAAAAGGATTTTGGGAAACTAGATAGGGTCCAAAATCAAAGGCTTATCCATGTATTTGCCACAGTATACCCATTTCTATTTTTCTAACGTGTCCTTTTATGAATCTCTATGACATTTAGCACTAGGCTATGTTAGGCATAAGTGTTGAAGAAGAGCAGATGTTGTATATCAGAAACTTTGAAACAATTATATCTCAATTCCAATTTGGTTGGGGTACAATATACGAGTTCTTGTCATACATTCCACTCTATTAAGGTCCACTGAAACTTTATAACCAACAAAAGAAATTCTTAAGATACAGAATCTTCTCTTTTTACCTTTTCTTACCTCATTCATCAAGCCTAGCTAGGTTTAAAAAGAAAAAACCAAAGGCCGCACTAGGAATATATGAGTGCATAATCCATATATGTACTTCAACAATCAGATATCAATCTTCTAATAGATAGCACATCCGTGGCCTTATACGAATTGTATCTTTCCTAAAGGCTTACTCTAAGGTCTAAATAATGGCCATGCTTTGACAACAAGAAATAAATGGAAGAGCTCACCTAATAACCTGGAGACCAGGGTACAGAAGAGACGAAATACGTTAAGAAATTTTTTCCCATCTATTTAAGTATTGGTTGGAAGAGCTGAAAAGTACCTTAACCGGTGGGAGGTAGTAGGTACCCAGACGAATATTAGAGGAATGCACAAGTTGGCTTAAGCAATATTGTTATAGAGAAACTCTTTTAGCTTGCTGAACATAATGTTTCAGATAAGAGGTGGATGGAATGGAAAGAAAACATGATTTATCTCGACTTAAATTCTGAAACATATATCAAGAAGTACTGAGGTCAAGCTCTCTAAGTCGGCCTCCTCATATTAACAAAGAACAAGAATCAAACGAACTAAACTTTAAATGATATACAGATGTAATCTATGAATATTCTAATGAGAATATGAACTGTTCTACTGAGTTATAAAAAAAGTTCTACATCAGGTATTTAAAGACATCCAAAGATGTCTAAAGATTTTGAGTTACTCTACTTATTGACTTAGGAGTCGCCAGGTAGAATGTATTAGGAAAAATACTGCATGCATTAGCCTTGTGTATTACTAGTACCTTGTTTGGTACTCTTTTTCAACCTATGTATAACTAATGCAACATTAGTTATACACTCTATTGTGTATGACGGTGTGTATTACGATTTACGAATACCATGAATTTCTAGGTATTAGCAATGCAATGGTTTTAATGCATGCATTAAAATAATTAAAAGACCCAATTGCCCCTTAAAACCTTTTTTACATTCTTTCCACCATAATAGGGAAGGGTATCTTTGTAAATAAATTATTTTATGCAATGCATGCTATATTTAATGCATCAAACCAAATAATGCATAAAAATAATCTATGTATAATTAATGCAAGCATAACTAATACATGCATTGCTAATGCAAGCATTACTAATACACTTTATTTAGCATTATTCTTATACACTCTACCAAACGACCCCTTAAGGTTTCGAGTTAGATCATAGATGCTTAAAATCTTTCATGTGATATCAAACTCAACCTTTACTAAGTTCATCTTACATTTGTAAGTCCCAATTCAAGTCCACATGTGAACTCCAAACTGAGTTACATGTGGAAGGTTGTTGAGCTATATAGAAAACATGCCACAATGGGTATCAAAGACATTAACGTGAGTCTGTATAAATCTTTTGCAACTACATCCGTTGCCTTAAAGTTCTGAATTGGATTCTCAGATTTCTCCACATGTTCCACAGATAAGTAACACAATATAAAGGACAAAATTTGCACAAAGATTATTTATTTATAAATGAATGGAACCTGCTGCAGTTACCACCAAATTTCCTACACACTCCTCTAGCAAAGACTATTAATTTAACCATAACCAAAAGCAAAAATAAAAAGAAAAAGACCAATTCATAGCAAATCAATCCTCTGACTCATCAGAAACAAGTTACTATCCCAGGCAAAACGTGAATGACCAACAAGTTTTATTGAAGTGCAAGGCAGCAAAGCCTCTGAAGCTAAAGGCATAATGGTAAAAAAAAACACCTAAACAAGTACTTTATCACGAGCTTCATACCTCAACTATCCATTGTTATATTTAGCTACCTAAACAATCATCTTTTCGAGAGTTTAATACCTCAACTATCACTCCTTTTTTATTAAAACCAACCTTGATGTTGAGTTGGTCTACACGTGCATGTTGTCGATTAGGAACAAATATTTGGCCAACTAAGAGTTGAGGTGTGTTTTCATACAAAGGGAGTGATAGTTTAGGTAGACAAAGAGAACAATGGATAGTTGAGGTACGGAACTCATAAAAAAGTGATAGTTTAGGTGTGTTTTTGACCATTAACTCTAACTAAAATAAAGCTTTTTGGACTCAAATTTTCTTTCACATAATGAGATTAATTCCAGACAGGTGTAAGTTGGGAGGTGAGTAAACTTACACATCGGCGGAGACGATCTCTTCTTCCATATCGCCCAAAAGGAGTAGAGGAACACTGAGAAGGATGAGCTGTGCTGGCAAGTAACCCAGTCAAGGCCCTTGGCGCCTTCCAGGCACAAGATAACACACTACATTCGAGTCTTCCACTCACATCTCCTTTCCAAGACTTACATATATTCACACATTCGATAGAAACTGCATTGAAATTTTAACAAATCCACACATCATTCACGTTATCTCCAATGTTCTGACGAGCAATTTTAGTATAATAGTGAACCTCCAGTTACAAAAAAACTCTAATTTTTCCTTGCAACACAAATTATTTAGCAATGGAATGAAACGAATGGAATAGACTTCACATAACTGAAATAACATGAGCTTGACTAATTTACAATTAAGGTGTATATATCAATTGATTGACACACCATTCACACAAAATGAAACTAATAAACGGCTCAACTTCATTCATGTTAGCTCCACGAGTAATTATAAGTAGCTTTAGTGAACCTCCAGCTACTGAAAACCTCTAATTTGCCCTTGCAACACAAATTATTTAGCAGTGGAATGAAATAGACTTGCATAACTTAAATAGCCCGAGCTCAACTATTTCGCAATTAAGGCGTATGTATCAATTGATTGACACGTGAATGTTCACACATCATTCATATTAGCTCCACAAGTATTTTAGTAGATCAAACTATTTAGCAGTAGAATGAAATAGACTTTAGGTAACCTAAATAGCCTGAGCTCGACTAATTCACAATTAAGGTGAATGTATCAATTGATTAACACACCATTTTCGCACAATGAAATGAAATTCATAATCGCAGTGATTACCTGACATTGAAGTAGCAGAAATCATGTCTATTCAAAAGCATCGGTACACAGTAGTGAAGAAGAATTGAAACGTGCACTTAATGAAAATAAGCCAACCGGAACAAAAACTCGTTCGTCTGGAAACACAAAGATGCAGCAGATACATAAACACATTCGGCCGGAGAGTAAAATCACAGCGAGTGAAAGGGAATCAAAAGATGATTCGCATTCAGCGCTGTTGCTGCGATTGCGGTCAGGCAAAAAGTGTGGAATTCAGAGAAATTAGGGAGCAGAAGGATAAGCCAATGGTTGAGCTAGCGAGCGAATATGAGAGAGAGAGCCAACAAAATGGCAAGGAGATAATCTAGAGAGAGGGAGAGATATTTCAGTCGCGGAGATTTCAGCCTAAGACCGCAAGATTATTTTTTTACAAAAAAAAAAAACGTTTGATAAAGATTTTTTTCTCAATATTTTAAATTAAACCTTATTTTCTTTCTTTTTTTCTCTCTTGTTTTTTTTGGCTTTGTGTAGCAAAATATGTGAACACCACCATAGGTTATGACCTTAAGATGTAGTAGTGGAATTGTCTCACTTTTATTGGGAGAGTCACCTCAAATGCGTTTTGTAGTATGTGATTCGGATTTAGCCAAGAGTTCAATGCGTGCTTTAGATATTATGTGAGGAAAAAAATATATAAAGCACAGAGATAGTTATATTTTAAGAATTTTTGTTTTTAATTGACTGTACATGACTAGAGTTAGTGATTGTGGCAAGATTATTAAAAAGGGATAGCTAAATAAATGAAGATATTGCTACTATTTTACTAGATAATATTTTTTTTTTTTGTTTTTTTTTTCTAAACTCTAACTAGCGTTTTAAAGAATCAGATGGAACTTGTAAGATATGAGCTCGATTACTTAAAATATCCGCTACCTTATTTATTTATTTTTGGCAAAGGTTATGTGAACCATTAAATTCTGCAACTTCCTCAATAATAACTTGCATGAGACAATAATAAAAATCAATTTCTATTGAATTTTGGAGCTAGGCTGTTGGAGTGGGCTAACCATAGGCCCGTATGAAAAGCTTCTAATTCTATAATAGTATGATTATGAAAAGAACTTTTGTTGTAGAAGCTCATCATATCATATTATATTTCATATTATATATATATATATATATATATATATATAAATAAGAGAACTCTAATTCCGTCTATGTGGTACCTTCACAAACTAGGATTTCCTTTTAATTTATTTATTTTCAAAACTAGTCTTCCCATTTCATGCTTATTGTGCACAAAAGAACTTTTGTTTAGAAGCTCATCATATCATATTATTTTTCGTGTCATTTATCATATATACATATAAAAGAGAATCCTAGGTCCGCCTATGTGGCGCCACCACAACTAAGATTTCATTTTTATTTATTTATTTTAAAAACTAGCCTTCCCCTTTCATGAAAAGTTGATGTTGATGTTTTGAGACTTGGAGATTATAACTTACGTTTATTTAAGTACTTTCAAACATTTATTGATGTTGAGTTGTTATGAGACTTTATGAGTTAGGTTTGGTAGTTGGAGTTCCCATTTTACTTGAGTAAGTCTCCGGCTAAGTAGTCAGTTAGGCCAAGGGTTCGCTTGGGGACCGACGATGGTTTTCAAGTGCTAGCCACGTCCAGGGTGTAGGTTCGGGACGTGACATTCCTTCCAAATTATTTGCCACTTAATTTTGTTCTAGTATGTGTAGCTCAGAGATTTTATTTAGCTTGTGGAGAAGATATATGCCGTCATTTAAGATAAGAGATGTAAGTGTGGGATTGTAACATTGGGTAATACTACTGCTCGGTTTGTTCCAATTAAATGTGGATCGCGATTGGAGGGTTACGTTTATTCTGGGATGACACTATCAACAAAATTTTCTTCATACTCAAAATTCGAATTTGAAACGTATGAAGGGTAAAACAATCCATCAATGCACCACAACTCATATCACTAAATAGAAGAGCTACTGAGCTAGTTGAAGTCCCTTCAAGTAACCCTACTTTATTAAATTTTTAGCACATATATGTTAATTTTGAAAAAAATAACCCTACTTTATAAAAGTTTACACATAATAATCTATCGGACCTCTTCTATCGATTTTAATAGCCCAAACCTAACACACCCCTTTTCTTATTTGCAGAAAACGCCCCCCTCCTTTTCGCTCTTCGCCATCTCCAACAATCCAATGGTGTATTTTCAAAGTGTATAATCGATATATAATCCATGTATAATTGATATATAATCGTTATACATAAACTATACACCATTTACATAATGTATAGTGTGTCTATCTTTAGTGTATCACGTCTACATACTTGATACACAACGATTATACATTGTACAGGGATGGTATAACAAAATTTTATTATTGCCCGAAAATAGATCGTTTTGGATCCGTTGATTGGTAACTACTATATTGTACACCATGTTATTTTTTTTAGAACTTATAGCGGCAAACACAAATCTAATATAGTTATATAGAGCTGCCTAAAGTTATAAGTATTTTAGACTTAGGGTGTGTTTGGTATGAAGGAAAATGTTTTCTTGGAAAACAAGTTGGATTTTGACTTATTTTTCCATGTTTGGTTGGTGAGTAGAAAATATTTTTTGGAAAAGATTTTTTGTGTTTGATTTATGAATGAAAAATGTTTTTGAAAAATTTCTTTTATTTTTACTAGAGTAGAAAATAATTTTTGAAATTGAAAATATTTTTTAAAAACAAACTTAATTTTTTTTTGGGGTGGGGGCTGGTAGGGGGTGGGGGGGGGGGGGTCGAGGGCAGGGGTGAAAAATTGAAATTTTGAAGTTAAAAATATTTTTTTAAAAAAAACTTAAATTTTTTTTTTTTTGGGGGGGGGGGGTTGGTAGGGGGTGGGTGTGTGGGTGGGGGGATCGAGGGTAGGGGTGAAAAAATGAAATTTTGAAGTCGAAAATATTTTTTAAAAACAAACTTAAACTTTTTTTTTTTGGGGGGGGGCTGGTAGGGGGTGGGTGGGTGGGGGGGGGTCGAGGGTAGGGGTGAAAAAATGAAATTTTGAAGTCGAAAATATTTTTTAAAAACAAATTAAAATTTTTTTTTTGGGGGGGGGTGGTAGGGGGGTGGGTGGGGGGTCAAAGGTAGGGGGTCAAGGGTAGGGGTGAAAAAATGAAATTTTGAAGTCGAAAATATTTTTTAAAAACAAAACTTAAATTTTTTTTTTGGGAGGTGGGAGGGGGGGCTGGTAGGGGGTGGGTGGGGTCGAGGGTAGGGGTGAAAAAATGAAATTTTGAAGTCGAAAATATTTTTTAAAAACAAACTTAAAATTTTTTTTGGGGAGTGGGGAGGCTGGTAGGGGGTGGGTGGGGAATGGGTAGGGGGGTCGAGAGTAAGGGTGAAAAAATGAAATAATATTTTTTAAAAACAAACTTAAATTTTTTTCTTTTTGAACGGGGTGGGGGCTGATAGGGGCTGGGGGGGGGGGGGGCGAGGGTAGGGGGTGGGGGGTAAAAAATAAAAAATTGAAATTAGAAATATCGTTTAAAAACAACTTTTAATATATTTTTGGGAGGGGTGGTGGTAGGGGGTGGGAGTAGGTGAGGGTGGGGTAAAAATATTGAATTTAAAAACAAACTTTAAAATATATTTTTTTTGGGGGGAGGGGGAGGGTGGTTGGGGGGTTGATTTGAGTGTAGGGACAAAATAAATTGATTTTTTCAACAATTTTTTTTTTAATTGGAAGTTGGAAGAGAGTTTGGAAAATGTTTTCCTTAAGTTTTGAAGGGAAGTCATTTTCCTTAAATTTGAGGAAAATGAGTTGATTTGGAAAACATTTTCCAAAACATTTAACCCAACCAAACATGAGAAAATTGGAAAATTCCTTCATACCAAACACACCCTTATGCTACATGTGTTTTCCCTCTCCAATAAATTATGTCATCCAACCCTTTGTTTAATACTGGAATAGTCAACTAACCTATGATACATATTACCAGCTTTGTGATAACGTGGTGGGACTGCTTCATACAGTGATCTCGAATTCGAGTCAGGGTATGGAGAAAATCCTATTAGTGTCACTCCCGAATGCAGTACGTAGCCAGAAAATTCATAAAGAGTGTCCAAAAATTGCATAGATAAAATAAAAAAAAAACGAATGGATGCTCTAAACTTTTGAAATTCAGACTATATATGTAACATAAATAATTATTATTTTAAATTAGAAAATATACTAAAATTTTTAAAATCAAACTACATAATATTTAGCATAGACATTCATGTTTATTTAATAGAAAGTGAACGGACAAAAAAAAAGAAAAAATCAGTACAAAATGAAATCACATTATACTTATAGATTTCACCGAAAAATCAAAAATAAAGAGTAAAATCAAACAAAAAATTTTAAAAGAAATTTTATATGAATTCCTTTTCACTTTTAATAGTTTTATAGAAACGATAAATAAGATTTTCCTGATTAACTTCAAAATTAAATAATTAATTTTAAATTTTATTTTAAAAATTTAATGAAAAGAAAAAATCAATAGTTGGCTACTAAACTTTTTTTTCCTTAAAATTTTAAGTTGTATGTCTCTAATTTAAGATTATTTTAATAGATAATAATAGTTTTGAATTATTGAAAAAATAGAAGATTTATTAATTAATAGCTCTTTTGAAAATGTAAAAATAAAATGTAGTTGTGAATGATGCAATTTTCTAACGAAGGGTGGTTGGATATCCTAGACATAGTATAACTAGGCCCCTGCCCTAGTAAATTATGTGGTGCGCGATTTAAATTTGATCGAAGCTTGAATTAGCACTATGTGAAAAAAAAACATATGATACATATTTTCCGGTGAATCACAAAAAAATTAGGTTGCATGGGATGGAATAATCATAAAGTTTATTTATGGATTTATGGAGGGAGTTAAGAAGTAGGTTTATCCAATAAATTTATGAAATTGCACAAATTCATCCAAATGGAGCGTTTAAAAAAGAAATAAAAAAGGATTAAGGATAAACAAGAATGACTGGTGCTACACGTCTTGTGTGTTGAGCATATATATGGACATTTGGCAGAGCTTAAACAATACATTATTATTTTAATAGGCCGAATGGACAGATGTCACGTTTGGCTTGCCAACATTTGAGCTACGACCACGACAGCACAATGAATTTTTTCAAACCACGATAAAGCAATGATGTATTTGTTTGAACAGACCAGAAGGGAGAAAATATATATTCTCAGTTCCTAATTACTTGTCTATTTACGCTTATTAAGAAAATAATAATTGATATATTGAATTTATCATTTTAATCATATTAATTATGAAGTTGGTGAATTAAAAATTTAAGTTTTCAATTTT